GTCTCTTAGTGGAGTCTCTGCTGTTTTCTGGATACAAGATCATATTGTCAGTGATAAGTGATAGTTTGATCTCCTCTTTCCCAATTCGGATATCCTTTCTTTCTTTCCCTTGACTGGTTGCTGTGGCTAGGACTTCTGGCACTATGTTAAACAGAATAGGTGAGAGTAGGCACCCTCGTCTTGTTCCAAGTCTTTGTGGTAAAGGACTTCCAGCACTATGTGGAACAGAAGAGGTGAGAGTGGACACCCTTGTCTTGTCCAGTGGAAATGCTTTCAACTTTTCCCCGTTCAATATGATATTAGCTGTGGGTTTGTTAACTTTTTTCTTGCTGATTTGTTTGAGTTCCTCGTACAAGATTCTAAATCTCAGCCCTTTATTTGATGTGTAGATTGAAAATATTTTCTCCTATCTTATGGGTTGTCTGTTTGCCCTGTTGATTATTTCCTTAATGATGCAGAAGCTTTTTTAATTTATTCAAGTCCCATTGATTTATTTTGTTGATATTGTTGTTGCTGTAATTGCCATTGGGGTCTTAATCATAAAGTCTTTGCCTAGAATGAAATCTAGAAAAGTTTTTTTCCTATATTTTCTTCTAGAATTCTAGCACTTGCATTCCTTATGCTTAAGTCTTTCATCTCTCTTTAGTTTACTTTTATGAGACAGATAGTGTTCCTCCTTTATTCTTCTACATGTGACTATCCAATTTCCCAGTACCATTTATTGAATAGGCCTTCCTTTCCCTGATGTATGTTGTTGTCTGCTTTGCTGGAGATCAGCTGGCTCTAGGCAGATGGTTTTCTATCTGGGTTCTCTGTTCTGTTTCATTGGTCTATGGCTGTATTTTTGTGCCATTACCAGGCTGTTTTGGTTACTACAGCCTTGTAGTATAGTTCAAAGTCTGCTATGTAATGCCGCCACCTTTGTTTATATGCTTTGGCTATCTAGGCTCTTTTCTTGCTCCAAATGAAGCATAGAATTATTCTTCCTAGAATTCTTTGGTATTTTGATAGGGATTGCATTGAATCTATAAATCACTTTGGGCAGTTTGAGCATTTTAACAATGTTGATTCTACTGATCCATGAGCACAATACGTTTCTGTATTTATGTCATTCCCACTTTCCTTGCTCAGTGTTTCTTAGTTCTCCTTGTAAAGACCTTTCACCTCTTTGGTTATGTATATTCCTAGGTATTTTATTTTCTTTGTAGGTATTGGAATGGTACTGAGTCCTTGATTTGACTCTCAGCTTAACTGTTACTGTTTATAGGAATGGTACGGATTTATGCTGATCTGAAACCTCTTCTCTTGACTTAGGGCTAATAGGTTTGCGGGCGCCTGCTCTTTGCTGGGAACTCCCCTGGCCGATTAGAAGAAAGGGAGATCTTGGGTGGTGCTTTTTCCCTTTCTGAGATGCTGACTGACAGAGCAGGGACATGTGCACTAGACGCCTTAATGCAGCTGTTCTGACTTGTTCTGTTCACCCATTGCTCGCGTCTGTGAAGGAAGCTGCTTGAACTGAGTGTTGGGCTATAACCAGATAGTTGTAGTGTGTTGAAGCTGAGAGCTGGGCAAGAGCTTTGCTGGGGCCAGTGATGTGGGGACTCCTCTAGCCAGGGTCTCCCCACAGAGGAGAGCAGCAGTTGAGAGATGCTGTCTAGGTCATGGTCATGCCCTGCACAGTGGTGGAGGCTCTGGGGCGAGGTCTTGGGGTCCAGGTGCAACACTGGTCCCAGGCCTGGCAGGAGCTCTGGAGGCACAAAGGAGGAGCCTCAGGCTCCCAAAATGAAAGCCTCAGAGAAGGGCTTGTGCATAGGGCCTCTGAGACAAAAGCAGGGGCTGATGATGTGGGGCTGATCTGACATGGAAGGCAGGGTCAGAACCAAGCAGGCACAAGGCAGGTGGGGCCTGGAGGGCACAGAGGGGACGAGACAAATAGCGGTCCAGCTTGGGAACCAGCCTGTTCCGCAGGCTTGGGGACCACGGGAAGCCAAGCCATGCAAGGTGGAGGTCAGTTCCAGCAGCCCAGGAGGATGGTGGAATTCTCCCTGCCCCACCCAGGACCCCACCCAGGTGGGAGCTTACTGTGTTTCAGGCAGCTCCTGTGCTCAGAACGCTACACTGCAGGGAAGGGGCGCTTGGCTTCCAGTCACAGGTACAGCTGGGGGAGCTACCATTTAGTCTGCTCCCTCCCCAGCCTGCTGCCTGTTGAGTACCCAAGCGCTCAGGATGACCCTAGCTGCTGCCTGATCCCTGATATGCCTGCTGTCTGGTGGTGACTCCACACAGACTCCAGGTGGTCCCCAGTTGGACCAGGTGGAGGTCTGGCAGTGGAGGGGCCATCTCACAGCTGGCATGGTGCCAGCAGGGCGAGCACAGCACCCCAGCACTCTGCCCTCCTGGTTTCCACATGTGTGCTTTGATCTTGTTCAATATGTCGCCCCTTCAGCACCTCTTTATTTCTACACTGAGTGTCCCACATTGCTTCTCTGTGATTTCACAATGTTCCTTCATAGAAGGGCCAGGGGTAGGCTGGCCGCCATCAGGTACACTTCTTTCCCTAAGAGCAACCTTCTACCCCCCTACTTCTCCCCAAGATCCTATTCATATTTTAATTATTAGCAGTAAATTTTCCCATTCTGTTTCTAAGCAAGATTCCAGGTTTCTCTCACCTGTGTCTTAATGGCTACAAAGGAAGAAGTTAATGTAGAAAGAATATAGGTAAAGTAGAAAGAGCACAGGCCCTAGAAATTGGGAGATGTGGGTTCCAATCCTGGATCCACCACTAACAAGTTAAGTTGATCTCAAATCGGTCAACTGGCCTCTCTCAGCTTCAGTACCCATAACGTGGGGTCAGGGCAGCAGCACAGACTGGGCATTCAACAAATTATTTATTAACTATTTTCAAAGAAATACACACTTATTATAAAATGACTACTAAGAATTAAGACTTTATTTTTCAATACAAATATCTGTTCATATATAAATATATATGTATACATATACATTTTGTGGGGGGTTATTACTGAAGTGACTAAATCTCTTTTGTAAGCAGCCTGAAGAAAAGATTAAACTATTTCCACAAACTATAAGAGAAAAATCCCTTTTATAATGCTAGGGCAATAAGCAATTTAAGGAATTATTTCCTTTATCTCACTAAAAGTAGCAAAAATATAAATTACCTCAAAAAGCCCTCAAATAATCCAATTTGCATTACAAATAGCAGTTTGAAGCCTTCTATATACACAAACCAAATATCATCCCTTTTTTTAAACATTTATTACGGTCTACATTTGGGGAAAACAGCCACAATGACAACAATAAATTTGAAGAATAAGCCGCATTGTGGAACTTCTAGGACTGGACCATTAAAATAAAACAAGTCCAGCAATGGAAGAAAACAGCAAAGCGAAAAGCGAAAAGCTGCTTTAGATAAACACGGACTGGACGTAATAAAGTGTAAATCCCAAATTAGTAAAGAGTCTCAGTCTGAGGGCCTGAACATTTTCAAATGATTGGCCTAAGCCTGCTTTGCTTTGTCTAGAGTCAATGTTTCAACCACAAAACAAGAGAAGCTAAAACAATTTACATTAGTGTGATAACACAGCTGCGGGGAAGCAGCGACATTATAAATCATAACCTCCTCTCGGAGTGGAAAAAGCTTGTTTTTTAAAAAAACCCCGCTGTTAGGGCCAGGTACAGTCCAAATTTATTTCTAAAATCCTAGTCTTACATAACTGAAGTGCATTTCAATGGAGCTGAACATCCAGTTACATAATTATCAAACTACTGCGTTCTGTTTTGATTTTTCAGCAAAGAACACGGCAGGCCTGGGGAGGCAGCGAGAGAGGAAAAGAAATTTAAAGCTTGAAAGCAACACGTTTTGCTTAAAATAGAAAATAATTTTTGTTTTTAAAATCATTTAGGTAGAAGATCACAAATTTTCGAAATTGTGTCCCAAGGTTAAGGAATGTAAAATGGTCTGTAAAAATCCCGATTCTTATTCATCATTTTCAAGGTATTTTAAGATGTTTTCATTATTCAAAAACCAAACAACCAAAAAAAAAAAAAAAAAGCCTTACTAATCCTTCAAGTACTTTCAAAGGTAATAAGAGGACATTATCAAATGTATATGCACCCTTTCCACCAAGAATGGCACAAATGCTGTTGAATATTCAACTACGATTTACAGAAAATATAATAACAGCTGTCTATTTACAGGGCAATAATCACAAAATATGTGAAATATGTCTTCCAGAGAAGTAGCACCTTCATTTCTTGATTTAAATGTAAAGCTCCAGAGAAATAGTTGAATACTAATAGGCTTTTATTTAAAACCTACTGATGTATTAATAACCACAATGAAGGTTATTAGTTTTAGAGCAAATGTACTCTCTCCTCCAACCCATGGTTTTAATAGAAGAGCATAAATACAGTCATTGGTGATCAAACAAATCTAGGAAAAGCTTAAGCAAAGAATTATAAATAAACTACATAGCATCCCCTTATTTTCTTACTCACAGAGAAAGTTTGCAGATCAGGAACCACTCCTTAAAACTGTTTAAAAAGGCAACTAAATGAGACAATAAGAGCTTCAGACTTTTTCAATGTATATTTGAAAGTCTGAAGTGACACCATAAAGTCTTCAGAAGAGTAAGCCACACACTGAATTATGTAACACACTGACTAGAATCTCAAACTATGGTTGCAGGCCACATGCGGCCCGCCTAGGACATTTATCCGGCCAACCGGGTGTTTTTGCCACCACTGCCTGTCCTGTTTAGCAGCCGACTCGTCCCGGGGCCCGCAGTCCGGCCCTCCAACGTTCTGAGGGACAGTGAACTGGCCCCCTGTTTAAAAAGTTTGAGGACCCCTGGACTAGATGCTGGATACTGCTACTATATACTTCAGTTAACAACCTAAAATAACTAAATCAGTGGAATAAAAATTCACTTAAAAGGTGTTCACTGTCCACTAAAAGTGTAAGAGGTGCTGATAATTACCGTGGCTCAGAGAGGTTGCACCATCCTGGGGTTTCTTTTCTTCTTCAGCTTGATCCTGAAATACAGAAAACACGGATTAGACCAGCGAATTTCAACCCGTGTGCCGTGAGAGGTGTACTGTGAAAATATTTAAAGATCATTAATTAAATTATGTTTGAAAGAAATTCAAAGCACAGTAAATATACTCTTTTTTTTCACTCTGTTTTTTGGTCAACATCATTAAAGTGGGCCAGAGAAGTTTAACTATAGGTTCAAGTGTGCCATGGGATTTTTAAAAAAGGTTGCAAAACACTGGATTAGACCATACATAGTTCTGGCTAGTTGTTGGAAACACTGCAAATTAATGTTTCTATTTGCAGGAAGCAAAGTCATGAGCACCCCTATAACTGAGGAGGGCAGGACACAGGACCCAGCACCTCCCTAGTGGGTGCCTAGGAGGGACACACTATGAAACATTCCACATGAAAGGAATTCTTTATTCCTCTCTGAATTGTTTGTTGGCTAAAACATAAGAGAGAGGAAGCTTCAGTAATAGTCAATGCTGAGGCTGAGCAGATGACGGGATCCCTAGGCCAGACCAACCCATGGGAGGCAGCTGATAAGATGCTACTTCCACACCAAAGCTAAGCCCCCATCCACTTTTTCTTTCAGCCTATCAGGGCCTACTATTATCTCAGTTTAAACATTATCTAATTTTAACCAAACTGACTCTCAGAGAATGGTTGAGGAACTTCAAAGATTCCTGCAAAGAAAACACAGATTGATTATGGCAAACAGTGTCAGCACATATGACAAGCAGGATGACCGCGCCTCTCCCCAGGGTGCAAACAATCCACCAGGCACACCTTCCTGCTGTTCTAAAACTCAAGTTTACCATTCAACAAATACTAAGAAAGTAGCTTCCTTTTTTGACAGATGTGGTAGGGAAGAGCATTATGAAAATGGGGATAAAGATGTGTCTTATTTACATAACTCTGTGGCCGTGAACAACGTGTGCCACCTATCAAAAACTCATAATAATGGTACACTTAAAAATGGGAAACTGCATTCCCCAAATTAAAATCTTCCAAAGGAAGAGTTTCAACTGTCTTTGAACTTATTTTTGGAAACATACACGTGCAATGCCTTTGATTAGTTTCTAATATCAACTAATTGTCAGAGATGATGAAAGTTCAGCAGCTGCATTACACAAACCTTTCCGCGTAATTGGTGGCTGATGCTGAAAAGTGAGTATCATGATTCAGCAACCTCAGCTGACAATTTCTTCTTCAGTTCACTTCTATATATCTTTGGGATGTACCTTTTAAAGTTATGACTAGTGTGACCGGGTGTCCCAGGTTTCAGGGGGCTAAGCTGGTCATACCAATGGAAAGCCCCACGTCTGGGGAAACCTTCAGTCCCAGACAAGCCCAAACTTCAAGGTACGAAGTTAAAATTTGTATACTAATAAATCATATTATTTTCAAATAAACAAATAATGCACACACAGCCAGATTTGTGATTGAGGTTTCTTTATTGATGAGGTAACCGAATAAATGAGGTTAAAACATAATTTATTTTATTTTTACTAATTTATTTATTTATTTAATTTTTTTGCATTTTTTGGCAGGAGCCAGCTTTGAACCCACCACCTCTGGTATACGGGGCCAGAGCCCTACTCCTTTGAGCCACAGGCCAATTTATTTTATTTTTTAATTCAGATGATTTAAGATACATACTCTATGCACATAAAGACAGAATACACACACACACACACACACACACACGCACAATACAGTGGAAATTTTCCTACCTGCCCTCCCCTCCCCTATCTGGCCAATGCATAATATCCCTATCCAATTATCACTGACCCGTTTCCAATATATCCTTGCAAAGTTTCCTTTATAAACCACAGAGAAACATGAATATATATTCTTGGTTCATTATTCTGATACACAAAATGCTGTGCCATACTGTTTTCTACCCATTTCACTGAACAAAACACCTCTCCACATCAGGTCACAGGGAGCATCCTCCTTCTTTTTATATAACTGCACAGTGTGGCAACTAATGGCCATGCCGTGACTTATTCCACTGGTTCCTCACTTACAAACCAGTATGAATGTTTGGGTTATTTGGGGTGTTTTTATCTACATACAATGCTGCAGTGAAAAATCAGCACACGTGTCCACCTGCACACGGGGAAGACGTGTACAGATCAACACCTTCGAAGTGGCCCTGCCGGTCAAGCAGCCTGGCACTCTCACGTGGCTACAACTGCCAGGTCCAGCCCTGGAGCTGCTCCAGGTCACAGGCCACAAGCTTCATCTCTGCCTCTCTTCCTTTGACCTGGTCAACAGGGTGTGTTACCAAATTTTTTCATTTTTGACACGAGGATGGGTAAAAAACGATCTCTCACTGTAGTTTTAATTTGCATGGCCTTCACTATGACGTTGAAGCCCCTGTTGTATATTTAAATCATTTGTATCTAATCTCCTGTGAAATATCTCTTTACATCCCTGGTCCCTTTTTCTGCTCGGATGTTTGCTCATATTTTGGTCTGGATAAATTAGGAAGATAAGTCCTTATCTAGGATAAAATAGACATTATTTACTTTTTCTCAGCTTGTCATTTCTCTTTTCACTTTGTTTATGGCTTCTCAAAATGCGAAGTTTTTTGTCTCAAGAAATACAGTGTCTAATCTTTGCGCACCAACTACCTTTGCTTGTCAGGTGCTCAGAATCTGTCACATGCTGATGACAGAGAAAAGAGCTGTGCTTACTCGGCTCCCCTCCTCCCGACGTGCTCACCGGTCACCTGTGACATGGCTGCTCACCCCTGATCTCTCCGCCAGCCCTGTTTATGCGCAAGTTTTAGAGTCAGACAGCTGCAGGGTCTAATCCCAAGCCTACCTTCTACTCCTCTCCTGTGCACAACCATCACTACTGCTCTCCCAGACCATCACTACTGGTCCCCCGTCTGTCTCGCTCTGCCCACTCTGCCCAGCCAGTCCACTCCCAGCCTCACAGACACACAGCCAGTGGATCTCTGTCTCCCTCCATCAAGCCTCAAATATGCAGATCCAAGATCCCACTGCACAGCCTCCTGTGGACAGCCCGCAAGCTCCTGGCATGCAGTCACTTCAAAATAAAGCCATCATTTTGTCCTCTAAATCTCTTCTTATTCCTGGCTCAAAGGTCCCCTGAATTCAAGATGCAGCTTCCTGAACCCAAACCTCAGTCATGTTTTCCCCTGTCCTCTCTGACACTCATGCTGGGCAGAGTCTTAGACAGCCTCAGTAAGTCCTGCCCTTAGAACCCCCTCCCCCAAGTGGGATGGAACCGGTGACTTGGTCTGGATCACATGGTGAAAGGGACAGGACCCTGACTCTCCTGACTACATTACAATATATGATTCTGTCGCAGCTGACAAGAGCAAGAGACTCTCCTCTGGCCTTGAGGAGTGAGCCAGCAGGCTATGACAAGGTCTGTGAGAGGACCAATGGTGAGACATGCAGCAGATAGCCAGCGAGAAGCAGGGACCTCAGTCCTACATCCACAAGGAAATGAATCCGCCAACAACCACGTGCGCTCAGAAGAAGCCACTGAGTTAAGTCAGGCCAATAATTCTAACTACCCTGAAGCCCTGAGTGGAGAAGCTGCCTAAGTCACACCTGAACTTCTCAGCAACTGCCCTGTCATAATAAATGGATGTTTTAAACTATCATCTTTGTGGTAGTTTGTTATGCAACAGAAGATAAACAAAGCTTACCTACTGATCCTTTACAAGTCGACTTGGGAAGCTTCTAGGGTCCTCCTTCCTCCTCCCACTCCACTCATGCTAAGCAGTAACCTGATGCCTGCAAATATCCCACACAAACCTGCTTACTGGGCCAGCATGCTGCACCATGATCTCCTCCTGACTGAGCTCCCCTGCCTGGTGAGCTTACTGAAGGCAGTGTCTTAACCATCTTTCATCCCCCAAACATAGCTGGACACCCAGTCTAACACAACAAATATTTACTGAATGAAGGCAAAGCTCAAGAATAGCACTTTTCTGTTTGGAAGATTTCACATCCAAAGTTATAATGGATAATAAAGTAGTTAATAAATAGCATCCTGATAAAACTCACTGTCTCCTGTGCCTCTCACACATTAACACACATATGATCCCCTGGGAATCCTGCTAAAATACAGATCCTGACTCTACGACTGAATTTCCAAAAGTCTCCTGCAGATGTGATGCCAAAGTGTATGGTGTACTGCACCAGGGCATGGGGTGAGTGGGGACGGCAGTAACCCAATCATTCCTGCCCCTATTCTACTGCAAGGGAGATAATGAACTTTCAAGTTGGGTTTAATTTTCTATGGTAGCTTTTCACCCCAATTTCACCCCTCTTTATTCACTCAAAACACAGGAAATTTGCATACGTAATTCAAAACAAAGCAACTCTCTTCTACTGTAAAAACTGAAACAGTAACAAGAAACAGTCTTCACTAGTTCATTATGGTCACACAACAGCTACTGAAGCATTTTTATAATCACTGTCTCATTCAGAAACAAAAAGGAATCCATAGATGCTGTGTTATAGTTAGTGGATTTGGATGTTTGGTTCACACTTCCTTATTTGCTATTAAAATGTCTCCTAGAAAGAAAAAAAATTCCCCCCAAAACAACGGTACCTCTCACTTGAGATTTAAATTTCCAAAGCTCCTCACCTCCATGGATGGAGGTTATAGCGTGTAGATGTACACATATACACACAGAAGCTCATAATTTTGTATTTCAGAATAAATTTACATTTCTATTATGATATACTGACCTCATTTTTAAAGCAATTTTGCAAATGGAAAAATATTTACCATCATATTATAGAGCAGGAAAAATGTTGAATTTGGGGCTTGATGACCTAAAGTCACATCCCAACCCCATGCATGAAGAGCTATTTAACTTTGAAAAAAGGACTTACTTCTCTCCAGTTTTCTTGCCTATTAAAGTTAAAGGATTAGACTAAATGTTCTCCCAAGTTCCTGCTAGCTTTAACATTCTTTGCTTCTGTCTGGGCTAATTAATTAT